ATTGACTCATGTCCTTACCTTTCCCTTAGAGAATAATCATAAAACTGCTTAAAAATGGGTGAACTGATAGGGAAGGAGATCTAATAATGCAATAAAAAAAAAAGAAAAAAAAGAAAAAAAGAGAGAACAGGCAAACTTCATACTCTTTAAACTTGCTATTTCAAAACAGCAAGCAACTTCTGAAGCACAGGTCAGCTGGTACCATTCTTATTGCTGTTACCATAGCAGAAACACAGAAATGTGATTAAATAAATAAAGCTAATCAGAAGCAAAAAACCAAGTTTGCAGTAAAAGCAGCTCAAGTTAACCTATTCTCAGAGGACTTTGAAAGAAAACATACTTCTAAAGATGTGCTGTGAGAGATTTTAGGCACAGCTGCAGGAAAAAAAGAAGGTATCCTTTCCTTCTCTTTAGAAGGATTAAATCTGTCCTGGAAATTAACCAAAGTGGACAAATGGGCCATCATACAGAAACAACAGATTGAAGCCCAGAATGTGAAAAACTATGAGAAAGAAGAAAAATGTCCTGGAAAAAGGCTACTGCATCATTTTAAGGAACTTTAATGACAGAGTAAGCAACCCAGGCACATTAATTCTATCTTTACTTGTTTCTTCTGATATGGGAAGTATCCTAAAAGGAATTAAAAAAAACCCAACAAACTTCTAGCAGACAAAACCAGATAACAATTCTATAATTGTCTATAAATAAATCCATAAAATATGTAAGTTTATGGCAGTCTAGGTATGTCCAACTGTTCCACAGGAAGTAATGTAACATTTTTGAAATTATAAAGGACATGAAATGTGTGATCTCTGTAGTTGGATGTGTAACCTATCTCTCTTTCTTTAAGGCAGGTCTTCTGATCCCACTACAAATGTTAACAAATACCTAAAAAAGGAAAAAAAAAAACAAGTCTTAACTCCTGTATGTAGGATAGGGCAGCTATTGAGAGTACTAAGGCTCGATGTTCAGAACTAAAGGAGTTTACCTCTGAAGTGGAATGAAGTAAAAGGATGGAGTTGTAAAGAGCAGAAAGCATTACGAAGATCAACATTTTGAAATTAAGCTGTGGATCTGGGAGGCAGTTCTAAAGTCTGTTCCCATGGCTGAGCAAAATTCCTGCAGCATGGGTGTCATGCTGTAGAGCTGGAGCGTATTTGCTGGGACTGTGGATAGCCAGAAGTCTTGCTGTTCAGCGAGATGACTGTTTTTTCTCAGCTTGACAAATGACATGCAGCACTGACAGAATACTTCTCCTTTGCTGGCCATCACCCCTACGGACACTGGCCAGAACAGCAGCAGCAGGAACATACCCTCCAACTCTGATTTAATCACATGGAGCCCAGGAGACTAGTCAATAGAGCTGTTAACTCTCTGTTTGGTTTGCTTTTCCCATCTGTGTTTTATTAAACTGAGAGCAAGATTTATTCACTTTTTTTAACATCAGGAGCTGTTGGTGTCCAAGATGATGGCTGATGTTAAGGTATACATACGCAGTTTAACCTGGCTGGGGGCCAAAGAGGCCTATGATTTCCAGCCTAGACTATTTGCAAAAGGACACAAAATCCCTCTGCTCTCAGGCATTTCTGAAAGGATGAGCACAAGTACTTCCTGCTCTGCCAGGAACACAATACATAAAGAACACAGTAAAACAGTAGGCTCTCCAGGATGAGCCAGGCTCTCCAGGCATGCAGGCAAACACTTCAGCTTTACTTTACTCCTGACAGCCCCGACATAGTCACAACTACCAACGATTTTCTGATTTCCACTCCAGGAATCTTAAATAGATTGGAGATACCAGCTCAGTGTATAAATATTTCTTCTAAAAGCCAAGAATCCTGAATGGCTCAGCTGGGGAATTGCACTTTATGGGAACTGAAATTATGTGCCAGGCTCTCCGCTGTAAGGTGGGATAGCTGAAGCACAGACACTTGCATGCCTAATGAGCTACCACGAGAATAACAATCGCTTCTAGAGGAGAAGAGGAACCAAAAGATGGGATTTTGAATAGGTTCGAAAAGATAAACTTTTCCTCAAGCAGTAGGGTTAACTCAAGATAGAAAGATCAAGTGTGCATTTTTCAGAACTGTAAAGAGGTTTCTTTGAAATACATCAGTTTCAAGCGATAATATAAAGCTCCCAAACCCCAGAGCTTTGATGTAAACAGCCTCCAACATTCTTGTTCTGGGCATATTCTTCTCAACAACAAGCTCCTTTCCAAAAGGTACTACTCTCCCCCTCATCTCTTAATCATCACTCATCTCATCAAAACTAACGTGGTGACATCCACTTTCTCTATTGCCTTGCTACTGTTCCTGCAAGTGTGGATCATCAGGTCCGCCAGATTTGTTGTTATCTACAAAAAAATCTGCACTCTGGTCTTTCCAGGCAAATTCTTTCGTAAAATCATATGAATATCATATTGACTGTGGCACCTACACAGAGCATCGTCGTATTACAATGATTCTTGTAATACTAAGCTTTGTGGTACCCCCATATGGCAACAAAAAGTATTTAAAATACTTTTTGTTATTTCAGGAGAGCTTAGAAAAGAAACTGTATCTCTCAAACTATTGGTTTGCTTAAAACAGTATTTTTATCATTCACATACCCATCTTCCCCAGAAACTTTAATACAGGCTGCAGAATGTGGTTCCATGTGTGATAGTTCCTGTTCTGAATTGACTTTCAATGTTAAACAAAAAAAGCAATGACTTTTGTTACTGTTTCATTCAAGAAGAATGGTCTTTTTTCCATGCTCTTTCACATTTTTATCATCTGTGAGATGACAGTAGGAACTGTGCATGAGCCAGTACAAATTAAGCAGTATTCATGTGCTTTCTCTTTTATAGTTTTTAAGAATACTGGCAGAAAATGATGGAATCTGCAAGTTTCAGTTTTCTTGGTTTCTAATGAAAAAAGAATCTGAATTCTATGCATGGTTAACTCGAAGTGAGGAAATTGGTCACTGTACTGAGTTGTATCCTTCAGACCCAATGCTGGTTTTGCATTTTATTTAATACATTAAAAAGCAGACTCTGAGAGCGATTCCTATAGCAAGCAGCAGACCCTAGGAGAGAAACCTAAACCCTGAGCACTGTGTTAAAAGCCGCATAACTTATGTTTCTGAATGAAAAACCTCTGTGTCTGGAGTATTCTGTAGCAAACTTAATTTTCTACTGCGTTATTATGACTATATCTACAGTTCCCTCAGACCTCCATTTCCCTTTTGGGGAATACAGCTACAAGGCAGTTTATTATAGCAATATTACAAGAAACTTGATTTAGGCATGAGAGAGGTTTCAGGGTGACCCATCCCGCTGATAGAGTTATCTCTTGTCATGCACAGTGGCACACCTTGTAGCTGCTTAATGACTTTTGGTGGTGAGAACACAGGGCTGCGCAGGTTTCTAAGGTGAGCCGAGTCACTGTTTGGTGTAGGTGCCTTATGTTTCTCCAGAGGGGTAGGTGCCAAACTTGGATGTTGGTTTTTTGGTTTTGGTTTTTTTTTTTCCTAATTCTTAAGTTTTTGTTTGGTTCTGCTTAGAGACCACAAGAAGACCCTGTCTTGATGGCCTCAGGATCACCACCAGCTGCTAGCATCACTTGTTGCTATGTGCTGTGTGAAGTGCTAAGTTCCTCTTTCTCTGTCAGTGTGGGGACAGAAAGCAGACCAAGTCCAAATACTTGGTATAGGGATTTTGGTCATACACAGAAAAAGAATACTGTTCATCCAAGAATGCTACAGAAGTACTGTTGTGCAAAAGGGGCTTCTTTTTCCTCAAAACTACCCCTATTTACAGAAGATTATTTTAGAAGTCATAGAAACTGCAAAGGTGGCCTCATGTCAAAGGCTGTTTCATTGGATATTTAGACAAATTCTAAAGTATGCTTAGTAAAATAAATACAGAAGTATCTGTAAAAATTACATTACAGAAGAGAAACCTGGTTAAGTATCATCCCATCCAGTTGCTTAAATTTAAAACACTTAGTCCAAGATTAGTGAAAATGAATCCCTCTGAAGAATCCAATTATCACTGAAACAACTGTCAAATTGCCATTTGTATAACCATTACAATATTAGGATAGACTCAATTTGCCTCTTCACGCAGTGTACTTTATGTATAATTCTGTTGTTAATTTTGCTATGAGTTCAGCTGTGTTCATAATGAACTGACATTTTCAGATGTTACTGCCTGCAGGTGTAATAATCCCAAATTAATCCCTTCTTCAGATTTTCAGCAATGAATACACTAGATTTAGGGTTGGATTTTATTCTGTTTTTTACCAAATATTCTCTGCAACTACAGATGTTTAATTAAAGGCTGTTAGACAATTTAAACATCTCAGAAGAATACAAATAAAAGCTGTTAATGAAGTAAATATCTGTTTAATTTACAAACATCAGTAGCATTACTGATATCAGTCCAAATAAGACAAAGCACACTGCATTACACATGTACATCTAACTTTTTTGTAAAAAAAATAATAAAATAAAATTGAAAAACATCTGCATTTTTACAGGGTACCCTGGGTTTTACTGAAAGAACAACACAACCCACTATCGATTACCAATTCTACATTATAATTTAGCAGCAACATGTTAACATGGGGAACATTAGGGCAGTAAAGTAGTTTTATTATTTGGGGAAAGTCACAGTTCTTGATAGCACAGCCTTTTTCTTTTTTATAAAAAAGGTAAAGAGCTCCATGGGAATATTAATTTATAAAGATCTACCTTCTAATGTCATTTTCTACACGCCATCTTATTTTGGGTAAGTACTGTATATAGGGAAAATTAACTTCTCTACAATTGCCACCTACTGTAAAGACATTTTCTGTCATACATTACAGGTTCTTGGAAGGTGTCCTGAATATCTGCTGTCTGTGAAAACTGCAGATTGTCATCACTTTCAGATTCAGTGACACCAAGTGGTCAGATTCTAAGGAAAAGAAAAAGGGAAGGGGAAGGGGAGGAAAAACCAGACTGAAAACATTTACCCCAAGACGACATGCTACGTTAGTTCTATTGCAAAAAATCCTGATTTTTAAGTCCTTTAAAAAAAATAAAAAAAATTACAAAAATACTGGGACAAATATAAATTAATATATATTAAAGCATTGAAAAACAGTAAAAGGGATGGCCTAAGAGGGTTAAGTACAATGTACTTTGATACAATAAATATTTCTCAATGAAACCGAATACTGTATAGAGTTGTTTAGAACTCATAGAAACAGAAATCCATATTATTACTAATTTACCCATCAATAATCTATTTTTATCATCCCCAGAACATTTATATTACAAAAAATTAATACTGGAAAAGGGCAGATAGATAAACACTTTTTTATGCTTCTTTTGCTAACATGCTGACATAAAAGTATACATCATCAGGAGATTTCAGGATTATAGTATATTCTCATATCTCCCATTTCCCATCCATTAAATGGGACCCCATCTTCTCAAGATGCTTAATAATTCCAAAAGATAAAATGTATTTCATACAATTGTTACTTCTGTATAATCTGATTCTTTTCACTCATAACGCTTCCTCATCCATAGGTAAGTGATTTGTATGCTCTGCCAAGACAATAAAATATACGCAAGTGAAAAAACAAGCCTCATGTTCTGGTCAATATTTCATCTGTGAGCTGTTAAGTTGAAAGTCACATGTGTATAGTGTCAGTGTATCTTCAGCATGTTATAAAGAAGAATCCATGTTAAAAGCAGTTAAAGTTTCCCATCTCTGTTGCAAAGTTACCAGGTCTTTTTTTTTTTTTTTCTTCAAAGCTCCTCTTGGTTATGAGAAGTCTCAGTTCAAGCACTTGAATCTTTTTTTCAAATGAAGAAAAAGTCTTTATTCTCATAATAAAAATAAGTCTGTTCTGTATTTTACAATATATTTCAAATATTTCCACTATGAAGCTTTAATTAGTCCGACACGGTCAATAAGTATACAACATTTTCAAAAGACAAGTGTGACAGGGACACTTAGGAGGGACAATTTGTACAGCCACACTTCACCACTTTTTCAACCTCGTCCACAAATGATGACCCGTCAGTGCATTCAAAAGAGTATTTCCGTCTCTTGCTCCTCAGCGGTCCACAGCACTGCCCGGTTGAACATCCTCCTTTACATTCTAGTCTCGATACCTTCTTGGTCGTCTGGCACGCAGCATACCCTTGCTGCTTTTGGTAGTAATCTCGGATTCGTTCCCCTCGACAAGAGATTTCTGTAGAAAACAACATTTAAAATAAGAGATACACTTTTGAGACGCAGGTCAAAGAATGGTTGACACTGCTAAGGAAGATGCTGAGTTTCTGATTGCAGTTGGGATTGGTATTTTAAAGTTTGACTCAGACTGTACACTGGAAACTAGTGGTTCCACCAAACATAATTTGATTAATGCTGAGTTTTATTTCCTATACCTCCTATTTTCAGCAAAGTTTATATTATGTATATGTAAACCATAAATACAAAGCTATTACAATGACAAGAAAATTGGAAGCTTAAATCTTTTCCTCTTTTATAAAAATACACATCTTCTGTTCCTACATTGCTTGCAGCTGGTTCTATTTACCATAGGGAAATGTTTCAGAGAGCATGCAATTTAATTTATTAGACCTGGAGTTTAATATTATTCAAACTGTTATTTAATACAAGTTACATTCCACTAACTTCATAAATTACGGAGGTATAAAAGCAGCTAAAAATGAGACATCTGTTAAAAGTTCTCCAACCATATTCTTCTATTCTATTCACATCTATGTACAATACAAAATAAATGCCATCTGGGGTAAGGGAAGGAGAGGGAGAGGGAGAGCTTTGATAGACAAAGGAAAAAGAAAAAGGTAGGGGGAAAAGTCATCCTGTTTTCATCCGTCTCACCTGCATAATTCGCTGTGATAAATCAGTTGAAGCTGAGAGGTCAAAAGTAGAGTTTGTGATAAAACTAGGAGCAGAATCATTGGATTTGGCTTCTCAGTTGCAGAAGGCAGAGAAACAATAAATACAGAAAGATACAGCAGGTAAAAGGTAATAGTTCAATATAGTAAAAATGTGTTTCTGAATAAAGGCAAAAAAGAGAAATGTTTTCACAGCAAAACAGTTGATGAAAAAATCCTCAAAATGTAAACAAACTCATGGGAAAAGTTTGATTTTTCTCTCACCGAGATAAATTCTTATGGTAAAAAAAAAAAAAAAGCAACAAATGTGTGTATTGTGGGGAAAAAAAAGTTGGTAATGCTTTTGGCTGTTCATGTTTTAATAAAAAAACCCTCTTTTCTAAGACAACAACATGATTTTAAAGTGGTTGATTTTTGTTTTTTGTTGGTTTTTTTTTTTTACCTTTATCACAGTTGTCCCCCGTGTATCCGCTGCTGCATTCGCAATATGGTTTCCCAAGTCCTGAAAGCCTGCATTTGCCATGTTTACACCTGATGGATTGGCAGGGGTTAAACAGCATTTCCTCTTCATCACAGAGGACTCCCCCATGTCCCTGCAGGCATTTACAACTGTATGAAAACGCATTGATCGGCAAGCAGGTACCATGCACACATCTACAGGGGGAAACAAGCCCAAGAGAATAAAAATAAATTATTCATCAAAGTTCAGGCTAAGCAACATTAAGTACAAATACTTTGGACTGTACTCAGAAGAAATTGCTTTTGTTTCTAATGGACTTTTTCAGTGAGATGCAGGGAAGCGGTTTAGAATTGGTATGCAGGTTTACACAAAAGGAGCTGCCGTAGAGAACTCGGTCTCACCAGAAAACAGCCACTGTAGATGTGTTATGGAAGGCTTTTACAGGCCACAGTTATTAAAAGCAACATTTCCTGTCTACCTAAATTTTCAACATGCTTTTGAGAAGAACACAGCAAAATCAAACCCAAATGTAATCCACTAGAATTAAGCAGAGAAAAAGGATACTCACCTGAAATTCTGGTTCTTGCATGATTTAAAAAACACCCTATATTGTCACTCATGAAATACGGGGCTCCCAGCACAAAGACAGCTCAGGCACTTCCTAACTGAAACTTTTCTGACCCAGCAATGGCAGTTTCAAAGCTGAGCACGTGCTCCCCGCTCAAATACATTCGTCTCTACTGCCAACTGCCAGTAGTGTGGTCATAGAATGTATGAGGCGGCTCTTCACTGCACTGAAAGCCGAGAGCACTCATCTCGTACTCATGCAAAAACTCACGCTAGATGAAGTTGCGTATTATCAAGTCTCACCCAAGTGATTAAATTAGCTACTCTCTCGGGTGAGCTTTGGTAAGCGTTTGTGGCAGGCTCGAATCTTGCTGTTAGACAAAAAAGGCTGTGATGAACTCATCTGCTGCATCTGCTAAGTTCTGACGTACAGTATGGGAACGCATAGTGGGCTTACTTCTCTTGAGACAGAGGTGGTGTTTCCCAAAAGGAGGATGTTTAATTACCTGTTCCTAGGTGTAAGCTGAAGACTAGGGGAATTCATCTTCTGAAAACATCACCAATGACTTGGAATAAAATCTCTTCCCTTTGTTCATTTGGTGGCACAGGGTCAATAACTTTCTTCCTAGAAATAATGTTATTTTCTTTAACTGTTGTCTTGATACATGAGTTTTCTATCTATATACTGTTTCCTAGGGAGACCACAGCGAAGATCTCTGTGAGGAGGAATGCAATCCTGATGTTCAAGGTCACAGTCACCTTCCCTAATGTTTCTCCTCTCTAATGTTTTTCCTCTCTGTATTGTAAGATCCCTGAGCCCGCAACCTCCTTAGTAGGTTGTGGCAGCCACCTAAATAAATGTATAAATAAACAAATGAAAAGCTTTATATAAAAAAAAAATAATCCCATTCGATCTAAAATAAAATCCTTCGCTTCTATTTGAAGATGGCGAAAAAAAATCATATAAAATTGCATTTCATAGTAAAAGAAGAGTTCTGTTAAGAACAACATCTTATTTTTAAATTTTTTAGATAACATAGTCTGTATTTCTGGAAACTTTTTGCTTTGTGCTCTACTCCTTCAGTACAGTGAGAAATTTGCTAAAATTGAAAAGAATGCACAACGCATTTTAACTTTGACAAGCTTGCATTAACTATTTAAACTGTTTCAGTTTAAAAATATCAACAAGTTCCACTCATCAGTGAAATCTACATTACAGTTCTCCATCCGTACCCTTCATTTTGGGCAAGTGCTTTAGGCGTGATGTAACATGGAGGAAAAAAAGAGTATGGGAAGTCATTCTCATTGCAGGATATTTAAATGGAAGGTGCAACACATAGCCTCCATTCACATATCCAGTTTGGGATTAAAAACTGCAAATATAAAATTTAAGTAATAGCTTAAGCACCTCCAATTTCCTATTATGCAAGAGTCTGTACTTTTGAAACAACTATGTTCCCTAAAAAATTCCAAATTGTTCCTGTGGTTGAAGTCTGATATTCCAAGACTGTTAGATTAAGCAACTCAAAATGGAAGGATTAAACAGTATCAGAAGGGAGATAGCATTTGTTTAGTTTTCAGTATATTTAGCATTTGATTTGTTCACCATCTACAAAACAAACACTTTTAGGACATCTGATGTATGAAGTTACTCAGGTGACACTGACATGTCATATACTATACAGGCTGTTTTAGATATCAAAGCAGTCTGTGTCTGGATCTTCCGTAAAGTTCTGCTTCACTTAGAAGATGATTAAATCTTTGCTAATGCCAACTCTCATAATTTTGCTTCCACCTGTTCTTTGAAGCCCTAAATTTCATCTTCAGACTGCACTGAAAGGAACATCAAGCTAAGTGCAATCTCTCGAGCACAGTTTCATCTTATCTAATTTTAGGTACCTATGTCAGGCACCCAAGTTAGATGTATAATTGCCATAAGCTCCCCACACAGTCATGGAGAGAAACGAGCTCTTCCAGAGGGTGATTAGACCACCTGAGGTCTAATTTACTCTTTAGAAATGTGTTTATTCCTTTACTGACTATAGAGGAAACTTTGGTTGCTACGTTCCCAAGTCAAGCA